AGGTATACATATATATTTCTTTGGATCACGCGGCATAAATGCATATTTACAAAATTCAATAGATCAGATGTGCATATTAAGTACAAATGGCACGATAAATATAACTTAATTATTCAAAATGCTTCACTATGTCGCATTACTTAAAAAAAATGGAATAAAAAAAAGTTATAATGAAAATATATTTGTTAAAAGAGTAAGATGATTTTTTACGATGTGTATCCAGAAAATAAAAAAAAATTTTTAATCAAAAGTTAAACTTTAAAGTACTTAAGATAGAATTAATGATTTTTATTTTTTTACTTTTTATTTATTTATTCTTTTTTTTTTTTTGACATAACACAGTAATCTTCTTTTTTCTCCCCCTTCACCGCTTTTTCTGGTAGGGAGCGCATCGGTTCAGGCATTTTCTGCGACATAGTAGATTGTAATATCGGTAATGCAGGAATGCACGGAAGAAATCGTATTAGAAATCATTACCAATATTATATCGACTCTAAGGCCGGTATTCATAGTCAGTTCTTATATTTAAGTTCATTTTAAGCATAAATTCAAGATGTAATACGGAAATTTTATTGGTAAGCAGGATCTTAAGACAATCTGAGCCTGACTTAAAATCTTAAATATAAGAACGGACTATGAAATAGGCCTAAGAAATAGGCATAGCATTTCAAATATTTTGCAAAAATCAACATGACAAAACGAAGCATAAAGAAAAAAATAGACTAATACATCGGTTATAATGCATCACGCTTCGTAATCCTCAAGAGCTGAAATAAAGAGCTTAGATAAAATTAATATCTAATAATAAATATAAATACACAAGTGATAGGAACGTATTTTAAAAAACCGTTTTGTAAAACCTTCTAATCTGAAAAATTCACAATAATTAAACATTAATGTTAAAATAGCTTTTTTCGATTCATATTGATGCAACATCAAATTATATTTTTTGTATCAGATTAATGAATATCAGATACCTTTCTTTACTACTAAATATTCAAATATATTTGAATATCTTTATATTACATATGTTATTTCTTTCTTTATATAAAATTTAATAATTTCATCTGTTTGTAGTTAGGATGATAGCGTTTCTGATGATCGATGTGTACTTTTCGATGTCAAAACTATATAATAATAAAATCGGTACGCGTTCTCACTATAGCTACAGTCGGCAAGTGTGTACAGAATTTCTACAGACTATAGAATAGATGGTATTTACGATTTCTCAGCATGAGTCGTCGTAGTTGACGTTATAACCGAAGCGATGTCGCTGCTGGATTGACTAGTGATTGGTTCTAGTGGTGGTACGCTAAAACACAAGAAGAATGATCTATTAAATTAAATTAATTATCTTGTTATAAAATAGGATTAAATTTTTCTCATTTAATATATCATTATTTTTGTATTTATAAAGAAAATAACTATATTTTAATAAAGAAAGAATATAATCTAATAATAATATTTAAATCCTTTCAAATTATTTGTATATCTCAATTTTTAAAAACGTATGTTGTATCTTGAAATATTATTATCAATCCTTTCATGATGTTTTTTATCAAATTATAAATCATTTTTTTTTAACAACATTAAAGTAAACGAACAATGTTAGCATTAAAATACCTCAAAAACATTATATTTTTATTTATTTTTCTTTCTTCTCTGTTGGAAATTTCTTCAATTTTATTTTATTTTAATTTTAATAAGTAATTAGTTTAATAAAGATAGTCTATCATATAAAAAGTGTCAAGATATGCATAAATTTGTTGTGATATACATGAGATGATTCGTGACTTACGTAAGGGTAGTTTGGCGATTCAATACGGCGGCGGTAGGTAATGCGAGGGGCGAGTGTGCATGCCCTAATTGTGCCCCAGTTGGTGTACCTACAGGAAGACAATGCTCGTCGACCCCTCCACCACCCCCACCCCCGCTTGCGTACATGTTCAACTGCAACGAGTCCACTGTAACATTATAAAAAAGAACGATATCGGTCACGATTACTCTGCTCGCCACATTTCCCGTTGATTATGCGTTGATCATGCTCTTGCATTATTCTTAACTTTTTTGACAAACGACACATATGGTATTTGAAATGGTATTTGAAGATCTCATGATATTACGATACATTTATATTTGCATATTCCTAATAATAAATTTGTTTCTTTTTCTTGTGCCTTTTTCAATTTCAAGTATTTAAGCTTTACAATAGATTATCAAGCAATTTATGAAAACGATTAGCTAGGATTTTTATTATAATAAAGATTCCTGCTTGTACAATTAATTGATATTAAATTTTTATTTTGACATTCATAAAAAATGCCCTAAGGCCACAGCGTGAATTAAAAAAAAAAATAAGCGCATGTAATTCAAATAAAAAATTTTACAAAGCATTATCAACTATTTTCGTATAGATTCGCAAAACTGAAGAAATAGTCTAAATTTGACAATGCCAATCTGACAATCACATTAATTTGAAATAGCCAAATAAAATGTAACAGTTTCATATCACTAAAAATAAAAAAACTTTATTACAATAGAGGATATATTGATTAATTTTTTGTCAATTGCAAATATAGCTTTCTAGAATTTTGCATTAATTATGCTGATCAATTATACGATTTTTCAATTTTGTATAATCTGACGTGTTAAATTATATCGATGTGCCTAAGGTAACGTCCCATGATTCCCCCATATCTCAATGCCTGCGTATGCTTCGGGTTAATCCCCCATCGATGAAAAGTATGTGTTAGTCGCTATCAGAGTACATCCCGAGCTCTGACCAATCCGAAGCATTATCGGTTGTTATGTGCTCTCGTCGGAACTTCCCCGACCCTCCTTCATATTGTCACATGTACACGCGATCGTATGTTTAGTCGGCCATCGCGATTGACGATGGACGGGGACGGGAATTATTGGTTAACCGTTCCACGAAGAATATTTGTACGTAAAAAAGACCAGTTAGTTATTATTTACACATCGACAAAAATAAATGTTATTCCCAAATTTAAATTGAACATTTTAAACATAATATAACGTAAATATATAAATAATTGTAAAATATTATATCTCTAACGATCGTGTTTTATAAGTATTTAAATGATAAGACGTTAATGTAATTCACACGCAATGTATATCACAGTTAATTCTAATTCAGTATGCAAATAATGAGGACATCTTTTTCATCCCTATACCTGTAGGTACACCCAATTTAATTAGCTAAATGCTCAACTAATATTCGTAAAAATAAAAATATACAGAGCACTATCGTCAATTAAAAAATTTTGGTAAATTATTATTTCAAAATGCGCGTATACCCCATATAGTTATTAAAATGAAAATTAATGAAAGATGTTAGTGAAAATAAATTATAATAGACTTGCTCACCGAAGACTCACCAAGTAGACTGGACTTGATCTCGGTCTTATGGATACCACTGGGTCCAGGTAGATTTCCGGTAATGTTTGAATGATTCTTCGGTTTCCTCTTCCGCGTCTGTATTCCTTCCTTTTTCATGCTTAGAGGTCTATTCACCTGCTCGTATAAATTTAATTATGCATATAAGAAATTTTTTTAAATTATTATTTATTTTTAGTAATTTTTCATTGATTAAAGGATAAAATGATAGCTCGTATTTTAGAGCTTTCACTTTACGATTAAAGCAAAAAAAAAAGGCAAACAGAACGAGCATCTTTCGAATCTCGGTATAGTCGCGCATCGATCTTTGTTTTAATTAAATTTGTTGTCATGATCGTTTGCACAGATCTACGCGATAATCTGCGCCCCTCTTCGACATCGAGACGGGGTCGTCTCACGTGTGTAAAAACAATCAAGTCATCGTTATCGTAGCTAGCAATCACAAAAAAACTGATAACGACGAGCCGTCCAGTTCGCAGTAAGATTAATGTTAATTAAAAAGAATTTTCTCCATTGCCTTCTTAGTGTTTTTATATCGCGCGAAAATAGAACGCATCGATCTAATTCTTAGAATATTACTCGGAAACGATAGAAGGAAATTTTATTCTGTTAATTACTTCTTTAAATAATCAATAATATCTTGGGTCATTATTATTTCTTATTATTATTATTTCTTTTTGCCATTATTTGTAATAATATTAGAAAGAATTGACAAAATTTGTTTAAATAAAGTAAATGAAGTAATCAAATAAACTATAAAATTAGAGATAATCATATAATTTTAAAACTTACATTGTGCAGCTTGAAATAAAGACCGCATGCATTGCATACTGGTTCACCATTGTTGTTTCGTCTCCAGAGAGTTGTGTTGCTCGTGTTACAATTTGCACATTGTACTCCTGTCCTCCGTACGTTAGCCTGCAACGCAAATCGCATTTTTCATATTAATATACGTATATCAAAATAATGCCATTCGCATAAATAAATGTATTGTGTATATAGTATGGTAGAAGTAATTAAATCTTATATTTCGCGAATAATGCATTTCTTTAGTGTAGTTGATTCGAATAGTTAAAAATTACGTATTCACGGATTTACGTGCATAAATAGAACTTATGAGAGAATGAATTTCGTCGATTTCGACAATCGATGACGACATAAAATGTTGCGTCGCCGTCGAGAAACGGGGAATATTTGAAGTATCGAGACAACGAAATGGGAGTGCTCACAGAGAAAGAAAAATAGAGCAAACAGCCGCCAATGAGTCCCGTAGTGATTATTTGCTCAAGATAAGTTCCTCTTCTCTCCGTCTTTGGTGGTAGAGGAAAACGGGGAGACTGGAGAGAGGGGGGAGAGGGATAGAAAAGAGAGAGAAAAGAGAGGCAAAGGCCGCGAGAATGTTACTTAATATCGAAACGATGTACGCTTTATGAGTGAGAAATTTATCAGGGCAAATATCAGTGGCCTTATTTTAGCAATGGTCAAACGAATTTCAGACTCGGCATTTGAATGTGAGAATAATAAACTGCATTTTACTATTATCACTTTTCAATATATACGAAACATAACATTATTCAGTATAAGAATTTTTATATTAAAAACCATTTAGAAAATAAAGAAGAAAAAGATGAAAATTCATCTGCAGACAGCTCCAGAAACTAAACATTACCAAGTTAAAGTGCAGTTTAAAAATTGTGTTATTCAAGTTGCAATTAATTATAATAATTGTAACTTATTGTAATGTCTATACTACTATTAGCAACTATTACAAACTATTACAAACTGTTAAAAAATATAAAACGTGTAATTAAAAAAGATGCATAAAAAATGTGCATAATTAGATAATTGGAATCTAAATGTTACGTTGCTTTCCTGCTTTTAAAGCAGCTTTTAAATTATTATCCGTGCGTATAAAAATATTAATATTCGGTAGATTATATAATTATTATAGTAATCACACATGATTCGCACAATGTTTACCGGTGCAACCGACTGTTTCGGTTTAGGACATCTCATGGGTGGCCTGTTGACGCCGTTCATCTTGTTATAGAGACCGCAAGCATTGCAAAGATAATGTCCGGTGCCGTCCCTTCTCCATAATGGCGTCATACTAGCTGCGCAGTTAACACATTCTTTGGGTTCCGGCGCTATGACCGTTCCGTCGAATGCCTCGTCGGTACCAGGAATCGGAAGAGTGGTCCATCCACCGGGCGGTCCGTTCCCGCTCGCGGAAACGCTGTACGCACCGCCGGCATATAGCTGCACGTTGGTGGTGTCGCTTACGGAAATCGCGGTAATGCTCGGATAGCTTTGAACGTACTCCAAAGTCGGTGGCGAGGGGGTGTTGCCGGCCGGCCAGTAAGGATCACCCGAGGGAGGCTTTACATATTGATACGATGTCGCACCTGTGCTGTACAGGGTCACTTGAGAACCCGGTGAACCAGGCTGCTCATAATGCAATGGAACCGCTCGAGCGGCCAAGGACGACGTTAACGTAGGATCGCCCTTCATATACGCGCTGCCGGGTGATTCTACCTGTTGAATCAAGAATGTAAATTTCATTATTGTATATTATCCTTTAACGTTTTCGCGGATACTTCTTTTTTCAAAATTCTATGTAATTGTTGATCTGCTGGTTGCCATTTCGTGTCGTGAACCATTGTTAATATTCTATTATATCAATGACACGATGATAACTCGCAAACTGCTACACAATTTTAGAATATAGATTTTATATATTTCTTTGAAATTGAAAAATGAAGGAAAAGCTAGGCGCAATAATACAAATTTTTAAAATAAAATTGATACCTCGGTAACTCTTGAGCTAAGTTGCGCTGATGGATACGTCAAGATCATAGAATCTCCCGGTTTGGCGTAGCTATACGTCGGCGCCTGTTGAAAAGTCTCGCTACCCGACAAGTATTGTGTGTATTGGACGGTTTGCGTGGGTGGAATAGCGACTGTTTCCAGTGTGGTGTACGTGTTGGGATTTTTGATAGTTTCCGCGGCGGCCGCGGCCTCGGTGTCGTACTTGACGACACCGTCAGCGTAACTCGTTGCTACGAGTTGTTGTTGCTGTTGGCCAGGACGTATACCATCGATCGGCGGTGAATACGGCGGTGCCGGTGATCCGAGATGGACCGTAGATCCTGATTGCGTAACGATCGTTGAAGTGTCATAATCCTCTGTTGTGTTCAAAACTGGCGACGTCTGATATCTCGTACCGGATGTCTGATGACTCTCATGAGGGCTGAATCTCTGGTGCCCTGTTTGTTGGGTTCGTCGATGATCGGGTACTTGTACGGTGATCACATGGTTCTCCCTTCGGACATCGTGACCGTCGGAATAAGCATACATGCGGTCTACTTCCGTTCTATCTGGTGCGGGTGTCTCGTATCTTCATACGTGACAGAAGTCATCGTTTAGGCACAATTTTCTCGATCAGTAAAACTTCAACTATCAACTTTTCATTATTCTTACCTGGGCGGTTCCTTGACTGTAAGCGTGATAGTAGCCTCGGGGGTTTCGGAAACTTCGACCTGAACTTCCTGCCCGCTGCTGGTGGCATAAACGACACGTTGCTGATCCGTCGATCGTTGTTGATCCTCGTTACCTGTATGGGAAATCTGTACATAATGCTGCGTTTGATGAGCTCGTTGCTGTTCCTCTTGGAAATTACGCTGGTGAGATTGTTCATGTTCATTTCTTTGTTGAAGTCCTCGATGAAGATTTCCGGTAATTGAATTGGAATCTGGCGATTCCGGTTCGATTTCGGCAATTCCTTCGGTTATATGACCAGCGGTTGTAATCGTTCTCACATGTCTTCTGGTCGTTATTACGCTTTGAGGACTCCCGACTGTCTGATCTTCCGTTCCAGAAATTTGTGGTGAATTATCATCCGTGCGATGACCGTCCCATTCCATCTTGATCTCCTGCTTTACCAACGGCTCTTTTATCATATCCTAAATAAAGTGGAAGTTCTATTTTGTAGAAGCAATATAATTATCTAATCTCATGTATACACGTCCAATTATGGCTCCAAATTTCTTCGATGCCACATATCAATGAAATATCTTTATTTTTATTCTCCTTTAAATTTCTATACGGAAAAAATTTTGTCCAAAAAAATTTCTCTTTTACATTCTCCTCATACCAAGGATAATTAAGAATATCTTATCTTTAATATACTTATTACTTATTACGTTTATTGCGGATAACTTATCGAAAAGATAAATGCAAAAGTCTTTCAACTTTCAACCTAACTTTTTTTAACAATGTAATAATACAGATATTAATGACAAGGAGAGATGCGACCACGTGCAAAGTTTCCGCGTGAAGACATCAGAATAGCGTTATCGTCGCGATAACGAAACGGTACAAGTAAAGTTATACGAGTTGCCGGATTTTCAACCGGATAACAGATGAGATCGGTGTCTAGGTCGGCGATCGCGTGAAAACTTTTGCTCTCGCCGGTAACTTCCGTTCCGGAGAAGTAACACTTTTGCAGGTGAGTCGCAGTTAAGAAAGCCGCTGATTTAATATATATTTAATATATCGTATGTTTTCTGCTCTTGTAAAAACAAGTTTATTTTTTAAGAAAAGGAATATTTCTTCAAAGAGTAAGTATAAATAATATGATAATTAAATAATAACTATAATAAATAATAATAACTAATGTACATAGCTAACAAATTCAATATATTCAATTATATATTATTTTATTTCGTTATTCAGATTTTACATAATCAATAATATAATAAGATGAATTTGAGATTCTATATTAGAATTAAAAACGAATACCAATGACTTATAATAATATTAAACACATCTCCAGATATTTATTTATTAAATTAAGTTAAATTCTACATAATTTGTTTGTCAATCAACAGGATGAAGACTAACGGTCCTGCGGACTCAATTAGTCATTCTTTCGGGGGAATCCTCGAGGCACGCGACTGTTTCGGCTCGCGGGCGAGAATACACACGACGGGTTTAGTGAAGAGGGTGGAGGAGGAGGGAAAGGACCAGAGACACACCTCGTCCGTCTCGGGAAAAAATGCGAGAGGCACTGTTTGTCCTGCGTCACACTTCCGCTCGGCAATGTCAAGTTTCGACTTCCGGCGCGAGAGCACGCGACGGCTCTCTTTCTTTGGCAAAGGCCTCACGCGACTTCCGCTATATCTCGACAGTGATGATCTCGCAAACTTCGAAGTCGTGAACGTTAAATCAAATCGTAATACGACGGTGATGAGTGACGTAAATGGTGATGGTGAATAAGAAAAAGGTTGATTATTTCTTGGCAAACTTAAATAAAGTAATTAAGGAAGTATTTACTACGCAATGATAATTTTACGTGCATCATTAGAATTTAGAATTAATAAATGTGTCTATTTTAACTCTTTAATATACTTGAATGTTAAAGAATACGATGTCACGAGCTATATAGCCGTTATTTCAGAAAACGTGAAAAGTGAAGAGAATCTAATGTATCTGTTAAGATTGCATTTCATAATTAATCGACAAATATAAATAAATCGTCAAAAATTGTTTCAGACTGTTTGATCTTAAACAAAATTGCTAAAACTTGTGCTCAATTTATTAATAATATTATACGGCAAATATAACAAGTTTATAAAGAACTTAGAAAAATCTTATAAAGAAGTTTTGAGTAAAACCTGTAACAATATTAATGTATTCATTAACAAAATTAATCTAGTGCAAACCTATAATAATTTTATGAAATGAATTCCTGAAATCGTACATTATGACACAAAATCATTCAGTCTATTCTATATTTATTCATGTCAAAGATATATTTCATTCGTGTCAAAGATATACTTATTGGTACCTCGTTTACCGTATGTCGCATTTGAGTCTCGTTTCGCGCTTTTCCCTATTTTTTAACCCTGAAATTACGACGCACCAAACGCACTTTCGAATTATAAGCTTATAGCTTATGTATCAGGTAAACACAGCGCGTGCGCTCGGAAATATTCACGAAATAAATGGTGAAATTTGAGAGAACACTCGAAAGAGAGACGCTTCGTCGGCGGGAAGCGTTTTACAACTGACGACGAGAGAGACGACTCACCGTGATGTCCCACAAAGAGAGAGAAGGTGGAAAGGAAAGAGGTGGAATCGTAGCAAAGCTCCGTCGGTGAATCTCTACTACTTGGTGCCAAACGAGGCGATGCGTTCTCCTTGTTGTTGCATTCGTCATCGACGAGCGACGAAGAAAACGAGATGGGTGAGAGAGTGACAAAGTGAGTGGAGTGAGCGAGTGAGTGAGAATAAGAGAGAAAAAGAAAGGAGCTGCATGAGGAACATGCAGCAGACAATTTAGATGGACATCAACAGCAGCGGGAGCGACCGATTGGGCGGGCCCTCGCGTCTCATTGGCCAGCCGATTGTGAGATTCTCCGTGTCTACTCTCACATGTTGCTATTGCCACAAAAATCGATCGTGCTTCTCGCCTTTTACAGTACGTGGCTTGGCTTGGCAAAAACCTAGCATAGGATTATAGTATAAGATCTCATTTTCTTCTTCTCTTTTCTTTTCTACCTGACACCTAAACTAATCTTACCTTAAATGTATCTAAAACAAACAAATTTGTTTTGTTAATAATAAGTTTAAGTTTTTTCATTAGCTCACTAAGTCATGAAATTTGAATGAAGTACCAGTAATTTGATGACATTTCCCATTTGTAAAATAATATTTTCCATGGTATTTCGAAAGTATTTTGTCATAAATTTCTTTTACGCAATCCCTTGTCAGTTTATATAGACAGTGTTTGTATTGTACGGTCAGATATCATGGTAAAGCTCAACAAGACTCTACGTTCGTTATTCTGTCCAGTCCGGACATTGGGCAAATTACACGCAGTAAGGTCCGGGGGGGGAAAAAGGTTCGGGCAGAGGGACGACGTTTGTTTGCTCACTGATAAAGTGAAGCAGCGAGCGAGAGATAACGAGGGACGACGAGGGAACGAAACATGTCCACGAGATCTTGTCGTCATCGTCGGCCATCGTTGCTAATGCCTTGCATCGCCATTTTGTAGGCGACAGCTTAATCCGTAGGGGGATGATGATTCATTCCGCGTACACTGACCAGTTAGAAAAAGGGATCGCTACAGCAAATTCGTAGTATTATCTCATTTTAATAGAACAGAATGTAAAATTGGCAAATATTTGTCCTGGACCGAAAATTGAACACATTGAAGGGTGCAAATTATATTATTCATAATACTCATATCTGTAGTTTTATATGAATAAATTCTAATTGCATGTGAATATAAATTATGCACAAATTGTCCAAAATCTAATAAATTGTGTTATAGTTATAAATTTTGAAATCATATTTAAAATTAATTAAGGAAAATGTAAAACTTTTTATTTTCATAACTTTCCAATATTGAATATTACATATTTTAATAATATTTATAATAAATTTTGCATTTCTGAAATTAGGACTATCATATAAAAAAATTTTCAAAGTTTACATTCTTTTCATAATAAATAAAAAAGTTTACATTTTTTTCGTAATAAATAAAAAATGCATCAACTGTACGAAATTATTTAATTATTAATTATTACGCTAATAATAATAGTGAAATTATATTAACGATAAATCTGTGCGTATCTTAACATGAGTTAAATAACGATTAAATCATACACTGAGAAAAAAAATGTTGTTGAATCAACAGCAGTTAGTTTATTTGAAAATAATTCTGTTAATTCAATGATATTATTAATGAAACGAAGATCTTGATTATTAAAACAAGAGCATGATATACTGTTTCATTAATAATGTCATTGAATTAACAAAATTATTTTTAATTAGACTATGCTGTTGATTCAACAGCATTTTTTTCTCAGTGTAAACATAAACATGATTGAATCATTAACCATTAAGTAATCGTTACCCAATCTCGAAGTAGAAAAGAAGAAAAAATAGTAACTTTAATTATATCTCATATGAACAATATATACATGAAAGAGTCATCTTAAGATACTGACTATTGCTTGCGTCACCGTCATCCTGATTCACTTCTGCAAACGAAACGTCATCGACAACGAAACCGTCACAATTTTTGATGATCAAGAAAAACTATGACACATAAAACATTAGTTTTAAAATCTATTAAGATTTTAACTTCCCGCAGCTAAACTAATCTATTTCGCTTACATCTATGACTATTTAGAAACTAAATTTCAAGACTAAAGAAGAAAGGTTTATTGATAACAAGACATAAAATAAAATAACTTTAAATTACAATATAAGGCAATTTTACAAAATGCAATATTTAATTTTCTCGAATAATTTTCAATTTTCCCTGTTATTTGCCAAAATTAAGCGATATGTAATTAATATTTTCTACACAAGTCAAATAAATTAATAACGCGATGTTGACGAGAGACAATCAAGATAAAGGAACATCTTTGCCATCATAAATTTATCGATTAGAACGAGCTACGGAAGGATTTCTCGAAATTGCGATTCAAGAGGGAAACAGATATATATTTTTGGGTCGAACCTTTGAACGCGTGGAATTGTCTGGAATGGCGTACGTGACGCTATCGGATATTTCTACCTGCGATCGCGACGATACCAGTAAGCGCGCTCGTCCGATAGAAATCAAGAGCACACTCACACGTACACATACATCACAGGTTACCTCTTGAAACAATATTCCACTGATAAGAGCACTATTATGAGCCACGACAAAAAAGAAAAGAAGATTATAACACATGAAAGTTTCATGGCACTGGGGAATCATAGCTCTGTTAATTTTTCATAATTTAATTATTACACTAATTAGATCATGAGATATCTACCGTAGCAAAAGGTATATAATGCCAAGAAAAAAATTTGGAAATTTATGTTCATTGTAAAATTATATAATACAAACATATGTTAATAAATATATCTGAAATCGGAAATTTTATATTAAGTGTATTTATACTTATAATCATTATTCAAGTATATCATTACACTAATAAATTTTGATTTTACATTATATAATTTTATTAAAAATTAAAATTATGGGAAATGCTAAGAATTAAAGAATAAATTTTAAGATTTTAATAAATTTGTGTCCGTTTAATTCTTTATAAAAAAAAAATTGTAAATTAATCTATTTTGATGATTTATAATCTATTTTCTCCTTCTTTTTCCTCATATTTTTCGATTTTTACACATGTATATGTACATATACATTGAGCAACAAATATATTAATCAAACAAAATTATTGCCCATGAAAATTATCGCTTTCTATAAAGCAGTGATAATAAAAATGATTACAAATGTAATACGTTTTCGACAGAACCGTAAAATTTGATCCCTCTTTTTTCCTCGATACTTTGACGAAGCAACCTCGATATAAATTCACGGAAACGCATTGAAGTGGATTAACTTTGCAGTTACGTTAAATCACCTGCACACAAAGCTTTAATGGGCGAAGTTTGGCGATCGTTCAATTTTACAATCGTGTTATGCCGCGGAGTAAGCAAACAATACATTCTCGGCAAACAAGAAGGAACTGCGACGCGTGATGTATAATTGCACGAAAGATTTCTCAACGACGACATAATGACGCACAATCAAATTCTGACGAACATTGATACTAAATAAACTATTAAATAAACTCTAAAAAATAAAAATTATATTACGAAACTTAAGCTGATGTTTAAATGTATTCACACACACACACACACACACACACACACACACACACACACACACACACACACACACACACACACACACACACACACAACAAC